GGAGACAGAGTTATTTTCCTGACTACTGCCGTAAAAGGCAGTAAAAAATGTTTTCTAAATACACTGGCAGCAAAAGGAGGGCTAAGGAGAATCTCCATCCGTTACTGGATGTGGGGGGAAACAGCCACAAAGGACGAGGAGAAGGCTGAGGTACTTAATGCCGCCTTTGCCTCGGTCTTTCGTAGTAAGACCAGTTGTTCTCAGGGTACCCAGCCCCCTGAGCTGGAAGACGGGGACAGGGAGCAGAAAGAAGACCTGTAATCCAAGGGGAAATGGTTAGTGACCTGCTACACCACTTAGACACACACAAGCCTGTGGGACTGGAAGGGATCCACCCAAGGGTACTGAGGGAGCTGGTGGAAGTTCTCACCAAGCCACTTTCATCCTTTAGCAGCAGACCTGGCTAACCGGCGAGGTCCCAGTTGACTGGACATTGGCAAACATGATGCCCCTATACAAGAAGGGCTGGAAGGAAGATCTGGAGAACTACAGGCCTGTCAGCCTGACCTTGGTGCCGGGGAAGGTTATGGAGCAGATCATCTTGAGTGCCATCACACGGCACATAACAGGACAACCAGGGGATCAGGCCCAGCCAGCATGGGTTTATGACAGGCAGGTCCTGCTTGACTAACTTGATCTCCTTCTATGACCAGGTGACCCGCCTAGTGGATTAGGGAAAAGCTGTGGATGTCGTCTACCTGGACTCTAGTAAAGATTTTGACACCATTTCCCACAGCATTCTCCTAGAGAAGCTGGCTGCTCGTGGCTTGAACATCTGTACCCTTCACTGGGTAAAAAACTGGCTGGGCGGCTGGTTGTGGTGAATGGAGTTAAATCCATCTGGCAGTCGGTCACAAGTGGGGTTCCCCAGGGCTCGGTATTGGGGCCAGTTCTGTTTAATATCTGTATCAACAATATGGACAAGGGGATCAAGTGCACCCTCAGTAAGCTTGCAGATGACAAGTTGGGTGGGAGTGTTGATCTGCTGGAGGGTAGGAAGGCTCTGCAGAGGAATCTGGGCAGGCTGGATCAATGGGCCGAGGCCAATTGTCCAAGGTTCAACAAGGCCACGTGTCAGGTCCTGCATTTGTGTCAAAATAACCCCATGCATCCCTACAGACTTGGGGAAGGGTGGCTGGAAAGATGCATGGCAGAAAAGGACCTGGGGGGGCTGGTTGACAGCCAGCTGTATATGAGCTGGCAGTGCACCCAGGTGCCCCAGAAGGCCAACAGCATCCTGGCTTGTACCAGCAACAATGTGGCCAGCAGGAGCAGGGAAGTGATTGTACCCCTGTACTCTGCACTGGTGAGGCTGCACCTCAGTAACTGTGTTAAGTTTTGGGCCCCTTGCTACAAAAAGGACTTTGAGGCACTGGAGTGTGTCCAGAGAAAGGCAACAAAGCTGGTGAAGGGTCCGGAGCACAAGTCTTATGAGGAGCGGCTGAGGGAACTGGGGTTGTTTCACCTGGAGAAAAGCAGGCTGAGGAGAGACCTTATCGCCCTCTACAATTGCCTGAAAGGAGGCTGTAATGAGGTGGGTGTTGGTCTCTTCTCCCAAGTATAACAAGCGATAGAACAAGAGGAAATGGCCTTAAGTTGCACCACGTGAGGTTTTGATTGGACATTAAGAAAAATTTCTTCACTGAAAGGGTTGTCAAGCGTTGGAACGGGCTGCCCAGGGAAGTAGTTGAGTTCTCATCCCTGGAGGTATTTCAAAGATGTGTGGATGTGGTGCCTAGGGACATGGTTTGGTGGTGGACTTGGCAGTGTTAGGTTAACGGCTGGACTTGGTGATCTTAAAGGTCTTTTCCAATCTTAATGATTCTATGATTCTATGGATGCTGATCAGGGATGTATGCCCATGCGCAGCATGTAGTTGTAGAAGGGATGGAGTGGTGGTGGCCAAGAGTGGAGGATAGACTGGCAGGCATGGAAGTGAGAGGGCTGTCAAAACAAAGAGGCACTGACCCCTTTCTGTTAGCATTAATGATAGATGCTGGGGTAGGCAAGCGAAGGGCTGTCTTCAGAGCCTCCTGGCATCCTCCAGATCGCTCAGTACAGAATGCTTCAGAGTTGCTCTCTTCTGGTGTTTTCACAACTGCTGCTCCTTTGCAGCAAAGACCTTTTCCATCGGCAACCCACACAGTGCTGTTACTGACCGAAGGAGAGGGAGAGCTAATGTTCTTGCGTGGGTGTCTTCAGTGATGGACTGTCACAATATCACAGCGCCAACGCCTGAATTTAGGATGTAAATGATCCTGTTCTCTTCTGCAAGCATATCCATGAATATTGCATCAGTGTTTATTTTTCTACTTAGGCTTTTATAGGTTTATATGAATAATATATACTCTTTCCTTCAACAGAGTAAGGCTTCCTTTTATTCTGCTGGCTGGCCCAAAAATTGGCTTGATATGAATGGTCCCAGCCAAAATCAGAATCTGGTGAAGTGGGATGTGATATTTTAAATTTCATTCTGACATGTCAGGCATTGAAAATTCTTAGTACAAGCAGTGAGTTGTTAAAACACAAGCATTTTGGGGATATAAATACAAATAAGTTACCACACCAGCATGGCGTTCACCTGTTTTGTGACTGGATTTACTTCTCTTCCAGCTACTGCTGCTGTGAGTTTTAGTTCCAGTATTACTTGTGACTAGGACAACTGTATTTCAACTAACTGGTACACAATATACTGTTTTGTTCAAATTATTTACTATCTAGCATGCAAAAATGCATGGAAGAAAAGAAAATGTGGAAAGTAGCTCTTCTACTGTGTGTGCTAA